GCATTTTCCTACCTTCTCTCCATGCTCACATTTATTATTCTACAATTGTGCTCGCAATAATTATATCCATCTAAATCGCTATTAAAATCCTTACGTGAAGGTAGTTGTGTCTCATTAAATTTCGTTTTGCTATTTAACCATTGATATGGAAATATTCCTTTACGTGTAAGCAATGATAATAAATGAGGTGAGATGAATTTCGACATAATTGGAAAACATTTTGCTAGTTGTTCTGGTGTTTTAGATTGGCCCTTCTTTTCATCACGTAAGTTTTCTGCCATCTTAGCTAAACCAGGTAATGAAAATTTTAAACTATCAATAAATTGAAGCTGGCCAACTGAAAAGGTAATATATTGCTCAGAATTATTTGCTATAGGCACTATTTTTTCATCCGTCACTTTTGCTATTTCTTGCATTAGATGATGAAAATCGTAGCCACTTCCATTACACAATAATACCGGAATTTTTATTGTTTCTGGATTGATTCGTAATTTTATATTACATCCACTATGAGCAGGACCTCTAAACTTTCCTGTAATATGATCATGATCTATCACTCTGTTTTTTTCCTCGTCTGGTAATTGCGTTTTGCAATACATACATACCTTACAAGATTTATGTTTTTCTTTTTGCTCATCATCTAACTTACCTTGAATCATTGATTTTTTCCCGTGACATTTTCTATGTGAAGCACCCAAATATTTTTTGGTTTCAGCATCGAATACACGAATTTTATTATATCCAGCTTCATGTAATTTTTCTTCACATATCCAACATTTGTTTGCAGTTTGATATTTTCGCCATAATTCAGGTGTCATTTTTTCACATGGAACTATTTCACGAAGCTTATCTAAAATAACTTCTAGATCTTCTTGAAGGTTTTCCATTAAGTCTTTTATTATATTTTCTGATTCTCGATTAATTACTGGTTTTTGTGTAGTCCCATCTGAACAATGTATTGTATATCCATATGAAATTGCTTTTTGCTCTGCTAATTTTATAGTATTTTCTTCATTATCTTTTTTCTCTACTTCGATTTCTTCTGCTTCAAGATCCATAGTAATTAAATAAGGTTTCTTTAGCATGTTTTTGAAATACTTGGGTTTCACATAGTTTTTACCCTCTTCAGGAAGGATTAATCATTGTGGTGCTTTACTTGGTCCTGGACATGTTGGAATATGCTTTTCTAATAAATCTAGTCGACTATAAGGAAATCGTAAGCATTTTCGGCAAAAGTATTTTTTTCCATGATGGTTATTCCACTTACGCATTAATCGAGTAAAATCTGTTATAAATACGTAATGCATTTTTAATCCTTCTGGTATATCATTTGTATTTTTTCGGTCATTTAAATTCTCTTCACCTTCTGTTAAATATAATAAATCTAACATATGTTCGACTTGATAATTTCTTTCAGAGATATGTAATGGGTCTATATCTACTTTTATTTTTCTGAACACTTCTTTATACACTGGCCTAAATATATTTATAGCATAGTTTGGGTTATTTTCCTCGAATTTATCAACATCATGTAGTGTTGCTGGAAAATTTATGCCTTCAAAATTAGCTATATTACCATATCGTCTAATCTTGCTTACACGTTCAAGATGTGTAGGTTTTTGTCCTGCTTTTAGTGCATCTTCTCTTGCATGGTATATATTAACACAATCTCTAAAGCATTCATTGTCTTTGAAATTTTGCGGATTAATTAAACCGAGCTGTGGCTTATCTAAATCTTCTGGTAAAGATAGCCAACTACTACCTCGTAATGGTCTGAATGCGCTTATCTCTAAAAATACTTCTTCTGCTCGAACAAAAGACCATCCCGATTCTTGCAATGCCTCATCTTCTATTTGATCTATATTTTCGTTATATCCTTTTTCTATTGTTGCATTAATTCGATCTTCTCTAATAATTTCTATTGTTTCATGCTTGAATGGAAAAGTTTTATATATTGGCTCTTGAGATGATGGTGTAATTTTCTTCATGTATGCTATTAACACGATTCTTACCTTTAATCCACCCTTAAGAACCAATTCTTTTTTATAAATATCTGCAATTTTTTCTTCGATTGATTCGAAGAAAGCTAATGGCTCACCCTCGGCATAGTATCCTTTTGGTACAAATGCATAATAATCACATACCTCACCTTCATTAAATTTTCTGGCTTCTGCTATTCTATTAATGTATGGATCCTTGATTTTTTCGAAATGAATATCTGGTTCTTCTTCGGCAGTATCATATTCTGAATCACTTGGTTCGCTATCTTTTTCGTTATCTATTTCCATTAAATCATACCATTCTTTATTGTTTTTAGGTATATGCTTTGATCTAATTTTTTTATTGTTTTTTATTTCCGGCTTTGATAACCATTTTATTAATTCATCTATCGTTAAAATTGATTTCTTTTTTTGTTCTTCTTGAGTATTAGAACTTGATCCTGCTTCTGTATTTGGAACATCATCAGTTAAAAGGTCGACTGCCAGCGCACTTGCCTCTCTCGGCTGAAGTGTTGGTGGGTTTTCATCGAACGATATGAGATCACCTTCAGGAGTTGATGGCGGATTTTGCTCTGGAGTAACGTTTTCAGTTTGAGGTGTATTTTGCTCTGGGGTAACGTTTCCTACATTTTGCATTATA